ATAAGAGCAACTACACGTTTAAAAGTGACTCTACTGCGGAGTGCATAATCATTGCCGTCACGCAGAGGAAGTGTCCTCTCTCGCTCCAGAGTGAGAAGACAAAAAGCAAACATCTGAGGTGAGAACCGAATCGATGAACCACTGGCAGTTCATTTAGGATAGTTGATTGAAAATACTGATCCTCAACCAACCAAGAAGAAGCGTGTCAGGCTCTGACTTATCAAAGGATCCGGCTGTGAATTCCCCAAGATGATTAGCTTACTTTTGCTTGTTGAAACAGGCCGTATTCCGCCCACGTGTATATTATGAATTGATTTTTTTCTGTGATTTATTTGACGACAATCTGAACTGAGACACAGAACATCATGTTTGAGAATAGACGCCCGGAGATCGCGTACCCAATCAGCGCGCGAAAATGTTCCTCACAAGATTGTGTGACGGTCAGACCGAGACCATTCGAGTGTAATGCGGCCAGGTCACGATGGTGCATGTTCGTAGCACAGACTCATTCCAGTCGTTGTGTACGACTCGTTCCAACGATCCGTTTGGTCCTCTCAACTAAAGGTGTGTGTGCCCATCACGAATGGGCTGTGCGAGGCCATCTCGACAGCTCTGATTGTGACCGCACTGCGGTGTGATCATCACAATCAGTTTCAAGGCATAGTAGCACGGTTGACATCAAATGACTTAAGCGGGGGGTGACATTGGATGTTGGATAACGATGTGCTTATTCCCATAACGAGACTGTTTCAAACTTTCATGGCACGGTGAACCGAAGAACTCACAGGTATTGGGCACCATTGAAACCCACATGTCAAAATAGAAGCATATCAGAGTTACATTACCAAAATTCGTGTTTGGTTTGGAATACTGGATCCTTGTTTATTTTATGGCACAATACAGCTTACTTGCAGTTGCCTCCTACGCTGGTTACTCATTCTATCAAATCACTGGTTTGTCGTCACTTCTTAGCAGTTGGGAATTGTTTGGTAACTTTGTCTCGATAGCTATGCGCGCGATATGGACAGAGAAGGGCTATGGACAGCAGAAAGACGTCTAATGTTGTAGCAGTGTTTATCAAAAAATGATATGCTGTGATATATGGGCATCCAGATTACAGGGTAGTGGTAGGAACAAGGTCTACCCGGCAGAAATCTGAGTGTAACAGTAGCGCAGCAGTGAAATTCAAATTGGGATAGGTTAAGGTACGGTATGCAAAAGGTCTACAATACACTTTAGTTCCAGAATAAGACGACAGAGAAGGAAAGTACGATGGATTTAGATGAAGTGTAGTAAATACAAGCAAGTTAGAACGCGATGCCAAAGGACGATGGTAATCCGAACTATACGCATATGACGGCAACAATGAGATCAGGAATATACAAGTCACTGGAAAGCGCGTGTGAAGTGGGGGTGTTGCGTGTGTCAGCCTCCCGGGGTCTGCAGCTCGATCCTCAGAGGCAGCAGGTACTTTCCCGTAGGACAGGCGTTCGGAAAATCTTTGTAAACGAGAAAACGTAACTCTATAAGTAAACACTTCGTAACTACAGTATTAAAGTCCGTTAAATAACCTATGGAAATATATAAATTTTCTGAATATAAAGGCCTCAAGATGCACAAAAGACGAAAGTTGAACTATTGGAGAAATAAACACTGAATTCCACTCATAAGTAGTTTAATGCAAACGGGAGGAAGGAACATATGATTACGAGTAGTAATTAAACATTGAATCCAGTTGTGATGACAAGAGATTTGTTTCCAATCGGAAAGCGCCGCTGGCCGCCAACCATCCCAGGGGCTGCGTGAATCTGGCTTGACCAAACATCTGCAAAAAACGATNAAAAACGATTCGTTAGATGAGGACCTGTGTCATGGCCACAAACGTTTTCAAATTTGACTCCACCAGACGTTAGCTTTGTGGAATTGCTTTGGCTGTATGGTCATAAATACACAAGCACATTCCTCAAACAAATATCACAATTGCACCGTATAACATCCCCTTGAAGAATCCAGAAAGGTCCATCTGGATATAATACAGCTAATCAACAGATGAGCTAAAAGTAAGGAGGGTGCTGATAAGCTTAAAACACCATATTTTGTTTTAGTAACTGAATAGATTTCACACACACATACACACAAGTATGATTCGCTTTTTCCTCTCTCAGTGGTCAATCAACTTGAGGTTCTAGTTGTATGGTGTAATAGGGAATTAATTGAAGTTATCTCTGGAAAACTCGGTAACACTTTATGCTGACCTGGCTGATACCACGCTCGAAACAAATATAGTGAGTGTAGTGTCCCGAATTAGCACCTCAAGGTTTTCGAGTTTAAATGTGTAAAGCAATTATGGTATATAAAATAAATCCTGTAAATTGTATAAGCTGAGTGCATTATTTCAAATAGAAATTAACTGGATAAATATAATTACTCTTTTATCTGATTCGGAACCTTTCAGAGTTGAATGTTAATTTACCCGATCCCGCACATCCTGATGGACACTGAGGCTTCTGTATTGATTGTTTAAACCCCCAGAGAATACGACCCGCAGGTGGAAGAAAAAATTACTAAACCCCAGTAACCGGGAATTCACACAGGATTGAAAGGCATACACATTTAATTCACAAAACCGTACTCACCCAGGGGTCTGCTGACCGTTGACAGAATAGTAGCCCAGTTGTAATGGCCCCTGCATTCGAATCATGAAGAAAGACAGCATTAGTAAGACAGATTGATGAGTCCAAAAAAGGACGAAAGATTTACCTGATTCTATTTGAAAACCGAATTTCAGGACTGTTTATTTTGTTACAAGTCCCGATAGATACATAGATGAAGAACAATCATATGAACCGCTACGTAAATGCATTTGACGGTATGAATATTGGCAAGCGAAATAATGAAGAAGCTACCATTTGTCATTAAAATACGTCGAACATAACAATACTCTATCGATTTATCATGTAAAAATTCCATCGATTTCATAAGCGGCCTGCTGTCATCGCTAGTCTGTAATGTAAGATGCACAGTGTCGGGTAAATCTTTAAACCAGTTTCTCACCCTCCCCCACCTGTCGACACCGGCGCCATCAGTGAATATTCTTTGAACTCTTGCTCTTCCCAAATGAGCTGTCTGCTATCCAACTAGCCTGCTTACAGTCCGCCAATTTTCGTTGTCAAATCAATAGCAGGAAAGTTTAGCAGAGAATTTGTTCCTGCTTATCTTGGTCGCGCGCGTGGTTGCGTGAACAATGGTGCCATAACAGACTTGTGGATCTGTTACGGGAGCAGCCTCACCGGGAAAGTGACTGTGATCCCAGTTCTACGGGGGGAGGTGAGAGGTTTGCGAGACGGAGAGGTGGAGGGGAGGGGTGGTGTTGGGAGTATCTGTTATCTGTTTTTGTTCACTTCAATGCTTTCATCATGCATCGTTGCCCTGAGTAGCGGGGTAATAAATGAAAGTTCATGCATTACCGAGCAGTGAACTGAATGTGGTTGTTGTGATCGGGAATAATGAGCAACAGGACGGGAAAAGTGTGAAAACACGTTGGATTTCTTTGAACACGTAGCACGTAGCGCTTAGATCGATCTCGCAATAAGGTCCCACAGATACCTAGTCTATTGTGCGAAAACGACTGAACATACCGCGGGTTCAGTGGACTAAATTTCTGATGCTGGTGCTTCTTTCCCTTATTTGTGAACTTCTCTTGTGTGGGTGCACTTTATGACTGAAACCCACCCTTAAAAGGTAGCAAAGGATTTGTCAAGGCACAGAACACTAGTTCAGTTTCACTTGGTTTGTAGCTGCAGACACCATCCCGAGCAGGGCTCCGCGCAGGTAACTGGTGTGTGTGCTTTAGCATTCTACTAATCCACTCATACTGAAACTGACCAGAATTACCAATCTGAACCATTTTCCCTTGCTTTGTTCGAAATAGCCGAACAGATTCAAAGAGAAAAACAGTGTGTTATCTGTCACCTAATGCCTTTCACTACAACCAGTCCTCTTTGTATTTAATGTTAGACTGGACGGAATAGGGTTGCTAGACTAGAGCTAATCTCAACTCCACAGTCCTCTTGGAGAGTGTGGTTGAATGAATAAGTTGGTAATTAGGCGTAAAGATGACGTCTGTATGCTGATCAGTAAAAATTGGGCTACACAATTGAAACGGTGTATACATATTTTGGCCTGTATGCTTTTTTCTGGATTAACGATGCATGCTGCAAACCAAGACCAATCAATCAGGAGATTATTGACCCTCTTACACAGAGAAACCGACCGAATAAAATTTTAAACATCATAGCATCTCTGGTCCTGTCTCGCTTTCTGTCCCTGATCTGTTTTCTTTTATCTTTCTCTCGCTCATTCATCACATTTGCAAGCGATTCACATGCCATGTGACACTGTCACGTGTTTCCCGACTGTAGTTGCAATCGTAACTCGGACTTTATTAAAATCCATTTGCTCGTTTCNCCCCCCCCCCCTCTACCCCTCAGCCCCCCATCCCCACATACACATACTCAAATACTCGAATTGTCCAGCCAGAAAAATCCAAGCTTTTCCAATCAAATGTATTCGAGTAAATCCCATCACGATTGATTCCGGGGAAGGTACCAGAGTGCACAGCCGTTATCTGATCCATCGAGCGGGGTTGGAACAATGCCATTGGAATGGATCAGTAATGCGTTATTTGCGTAACTGAACAAAACACCAACACTGATAGTAATTGATCATTACGATCGGGCATTTCATGTAATTACGGGTGCACATGCGATACTGAAGCAATCAACACAACTTATTCAGACGTGTGAATATCAATGAAACGGATGCTACTTGTTCGTACGTGCCCACCATTTGTGTATAGTCAGATCGATTATTCCGGTAGAGAAACTGAATTTCTAATTTGAAGACTGTTTGTTGATGTGATTGCATAGTTTGATTTTTTTTAAAATAATTTCACCCTTTGCATACTCTGAGTCCATTTGACCTAGAACTGACTCACTATCATGTGCGCATACTCACGTTCTTGCGTTCTCCTCATCCCTGCGGTCTTATTGTCTTTCTCACCCCACCCCACAACAATCCATCATTCACCCACATTGTTTTGCCTACCAGTTTGCAGTTTTGTGCTGGCCAACGCTCGTATCGTGGACTATCCGATTGTGTACTGTAACGAAGGATTTTCCCGTCTCACTGGTTACAGTCGTGTTGATATTATGCAAAAGAGCGGGAATTGTGCCTATTTCTACGGGGAACAGACCTCGACCGAGATGCGTGAACGATTGCTCAAAGCGCTGGATTCGCAAACCCCGGATCAAATAGAAATGCTTTTGTACAAGAAGAATCGTACGTCTTGCAGTTATTGATTTTCTCATTTCATAACTGTAACAGACATCGGAGCTAGGCAGGCTGTTGAGTATAGCCCATCACGATACTGGTCATAGAAATAGGCGCACGACCCACACCAAGAAAACATAACAAACTGAATTTGTGGAAAAATACAATTCCGTATTAAGTAGAAAGTTAATTAAACGTTACGCGTTACTGGTCGCCCCAACTACTGAAACGGAGGAGTTTTAGGGTCTATACAAATAACCAGCGGATTCTAAGCTTTCGAACAGCAAACCACTTCAGGTAACGAGCAAACGATAGATGTCGAAAAAGTCCATTTTGTCAGGGTATGTAAGAAACGCATGATTGGTGAACAACTGGGGAAAATCATGCTTATTTCATAGTTGATTAAGTGAACATATACAGGGATGAGGTGGGAAGAAATGTGACGTGACTGGGTCAAAATCCAGGCAGGTCAAGGATGATGAGGAAAACGATTAAAACGGTGTGATTACGAAGTGGAATTTTCACACAAAGGAACCGTGAATGGAACAATAACTGCGAATTGCCTTAAGTAATGAATTGGGCGTTGAACTTTAAAACTCAAATGATAACAGAAAACAATTGTACTATCTTCTTTTTGGTATTCTCTCATCGTGGCGATCATCGATTAGCAGTTATGTGCATTTGGTAGGTTTCACTAGCAAAACCTGCTCACTTAGGGGCGGCGGTGGTGCTCAATTCAGTACCCAAGGGATATTCTCTGAAGTGATATATTCGTATCAGTCTGTTACAGATTTCAGACTAAAGTTTATAACGAAGTTCGCGCAGGTTTCGAATTGGGTGTCGATACTCTAAAATGAGTTGGGTGGGCAGGTTGTGCTAATTTTTCATCTTCAACAACTTTCCCCATCAAGCTTGAGCCAAAACCCGCATCCGAAGTGATACAAAAGATGTGAAATGGTTTAACAATACAGGCACCTCGTTAAAAACCCCTCCAGTCAACATATGATCGTCACAACTACACATTTCTTAGCTTTGCAACGTCAACATTTGTAGAAAATAAGCTATTAACATTCGTTGACCTCGGAATAATCCGATACTTCTTGATCTGACTCGCCTACAGCTGTATGACTGAAGATAGTGCGTCAAGGTCAAAGGACTACGGGTTGTGGCTAAAGTATTGCGAGTTTCGGCTAAAGGATTCCTGGTTTTGGCTAAAGCTTGATGGGAAAAGTGTAGTCGTTTTAGAATATGACCTAGCCACTAAAGGAAGTGTGATAGCGGGAAAGATGTTAACCCGTTCGGTTCTTACGAGTTGTTTTCTAGATCAATTTTTGGAAAATCCCGCCTCACTGCTACAGCTTTATTCAATGCTAGTTCCAGTGTTCAAAACTATGCATCACAGAAGAAACCTCCAAACTTTCCCACTATTTGGTGCCAGTAACGAAGTGCGCATTTGTTGCCGGGCCGGAGGAGAGGACCCGTTTGTTCAAAGGCATGAACACTTTAAATGCAAACTTTACAAAAACGTGACGTTTTGCTTTGGCTCTATCGTTTAATCTAATCGCGGTTCTCATTCATCCTATCGATATCAACTGGATGAATTTGCAGAAGTTTACGAGACTTTAGGAATAAAACGGATCACCTGACACTATCTGCCGCTAGCGGTCACAGAATGGGTTTAATGCGGCGAATCATCACATGACGCTGTGTAATGAGAAGTGACCCCAGCATTTGGAATTTTATCAGCAGACCAGTTATAATAGATGAGTACCGTTGTGCCGTGTTTNTGCTTGTTTCACCTGTGCTGTTGATCGATTGTGAAATAACATCGGGCGACGGTGGTCAATTGATATGTCACCAAATGATCGCCCCAGAAGACGTGTTCTAATCCACCACCACCACCACGGAACCACCGCCACTACTTTCCCTATCCTTTGATTGACCGCATTTGTGCTGAAAAGGTGTTTCATTATATTAAAATGAAAGAAAAGAAAAGGTAGAAAGGACTATTCACTGTTTCTTCCGCAAGAAGGATGCATCTAAACCGTAATTTTTCGCCAGGTAATTTTCCATAGACGGACTTTTAATTGAAACTTTGCCCGTTGCGCAAAAGAACCATAGAGGTGCGTTCATTGCGTAGTGCAACGAATGGCAGAACCAACTAGCTCGTCATTTGTGCATGGAGGACAGAAAGGATAGGTATTGCACAGACCCATCTTCCACACAAACTGAAGTAACAGACATGACAATACTACTACTGTAAAACTGTCACCGAATTGTGACCCACGATGGGTTTTTCAACGATTCCAGTCAAAAAATAAATGTAATCAGTGCAATTGTCTATTGGATGTGCCTGAGAATAGTGCGATGATGATTGGAGCACCGTACTATATTTTTGGGGTTGTGCGCAGTCCAGATGTTTCCCGAATGGTAAATACGAGAGCACCATCGGATAAATCAGATTATCTTATTCTCTGTGTTACCCTGGATCTAACGTATCAAGTAACACTGAGAAAACACCGACACTTTCTCTCGGTGGCGTTTGGTCCCATTTCATTCCAAATTGATACCGTGGGACTTTTCGGGAGAAAGCGAGTTTTCCCCTGACAGATACACCCACCTCCTGTGAATAAGCCTCATCCGTCAAAATTGGAAGACGATGGGATCTGTGAATTTTCATAGGATACACACAAATGGTTCTTATCAAAGTAATGTAGTTCTATGCTCAAAGCGATCACTATTGACTGTCTCGAGCAAGAGTGATGGTTTTGATTCTCCAAGGATTTAGGGATCGGATATAGGCCGGAATACGAAAAAAATATGCGCCGCTTTGAGGATTTCTAACATTGGGAACACAGCTGTCTAGAGATTCCATCATACAACAACATTTACCAAAAATCCCTCTGGCCTCCATATATGAACCCATCCGGTTAGGTCGGCTGTAGTCTATTGCGCACAGTCTCCAGTTGACTAAGGTGAATCAGATGGTGGTATAAGGAAAGATTCGGTGAGTATTCTTGATGGATATCAATTCGACTCAAACCTGTAACATCACACGAAATGTATCACGGTTGTGTAAACGAATTTAAAGGATATATGACATCAGATATGCTTGTAATTTTTAAACAGCCCCACCGAACACAATGAGAATACAAATGGGCAAACAAGTTCACTTTCAGTGCGTCCTAATCAATCAGTGATACTAGTGTTTAATTTTCATCCAATCATCCCTCCTCTCACCTTCACCTCATTACAACCTATCCCATCGCTCTATTTGTCGGGCTCAATTGCATTCTCGGTGACCACAGATTCGCCCATTTGGGTGCTTGTTTGCGTGGCCCCGGTGCGAAACGAACAGGAGGAAGTGGTCCTGTTTCTTCTCGCTTTTCGTGATATCACCCCGTTGAAAACGCCATTCGAGGACGAGGAGACTACGAAAGGTGAGTGACAGTTCGTTCTATAATATGCCACAACCGTTTTCCACGAATTTCTCCGAAAATTCGTACAGCTTGATCAGACACCGAGCATTGTTTATTCTGCCTCCGGATTTTCAAACGGTTTGACTGGAGTACATTCGGGGAGCAGTTTCTAGTTTCAATTGTTATAGATAGTATGCAGTTGTTTAAATGCGGTGGAAATGTTTGTGAAAACCGACAAAGTATATTGGACAGCTATTTCGTCCTGTCTTGAACACGTCAGCAATGCGTACTTTTTGTGTCCCTGTCAGGACTCGGACCGCTAACATTTGGGTCGAGACTTCAAACCCTTACCCACGAGCTATACGCTCGACGTTATCAACTTGTACAAATGGCTCAATCAATTTAGATAGTGAATGTTTGGATCAGCTCATTCGTTTTTCACAGGCTCCAGGCACTGTTGATGATGTTCGGTGTGGGTTTCACTGCATGGGCGATCGTTAATTCCCCATTATTTGAATGGATATAAACGTGGCGGAAATGGTTTTTTGCGGTTTAATTCCTGAAAGAAACATAAAAAGTACGCACTAATGACAAGTCCCAAACAGGACGAAGCAGCTGTCCAGTGCTCTTTTCCACCAGGAATGCGTCAACTGTACAGTGGTGCTTCTCTATGCCTTTTAGCGGTGAGTTTCATATTGGTGAATCCTGACAACGACAATTTTCCATTATAAAATTTTGACTTATCGGGGACCAAATGACCAAGTAACTTCCGTGCAAAATTTTAAGTTTAGATGTCCCACTTAAATTGGCGAGAACGCACGGTGATGGATTAGAAAACGTACAATGGCAGTTTGGGTTTCTGGTTTATCAGTTAGTCTTACCCAAATAGCCTACGGAGTTCAACGGGGATCTGTCGTCATTTTCTTGATACACATAAGTGATCTAATTGAAGTTCTAGTACCACAAACCAATTAACCTTTGCAGATGATGGCGATACCCGGAATACGCTGACAAAATCTGTGCTGAGAGGGGATCGCTAAGTAGTGAAGGTTTGCCGAATTGTCGCCTCGAAAGACAAGTGTTCTGTTGTTAGGGCAGCGCTTGGATTGGCCACTTCTCGCTTCCTGAAAATTGTGTCATTCCATAATAAAACGAAGTAAAAATGAAAAGAAAAAAACGAAAAGTGATTCATTGCCTCGTCAGAGATCACCAAATAAAGCTTATCAATGGTCATGTGAAAATATGAAAATATATATATATCTATATATATGAAAATATATATAGAAATGATCCATAGAAATGTACGATAATATCTCAGTGTCACAATTATTAATTCCCGTACTTCTTCGGAAATCAAAAAATGCCACATACATCAGGTGACAAGGAACTAAGCATAATCATTCAAGAATGCTTAAACAGTTCGATAACTTGCGTCGGTTCTTGGACTGCAGTTGGGAAGGGTGTCTGTTTGAATGAACACTGCTCCTACGTGTGTCAACAGTGCTCATTAGAACTTACACAGATTAGATCATCCGCGACTGGAGGCCATGGATACAATGTGGTCATCACATGCTTCCTCAAACGATATTCACCCAAATGGCCAAGAGCTTTCACTCCCTAAGCTATGTGTACAGAATTCAATCACTGGGATTATATTTTCTTCAGTAATGCCGAATTCGATGCGGCAGAGTACAAGCCATCTATGTCGTCTCACATCCTCACACGGCAGAAATATGAAAATTAATGAGGATATCAAGTTTTCGCTGTGGGAGTTGGCAACTTATGGAACGCTCCCCCATTTCACATCGTTGGTGAGCCAATTGTTGATTCTTTAAAGCGCCGAGTCCATCCATTTTCTGGCAAGCAACAGCTTGCAAGCATTTCCCGTGGTTAAACATTAAGTTTGACCATTCCGCAACACCACACGGACAGCCACACCATGACAAGGTCAGACTAGTCAGCCACTTGACTTGGTTATTCACAACGGTCCGACAAATCATACCAGCCAGTTGCAGTCAATCTCCTGCTATGTCGCACCCCTCGGAAATTCGAAAAATTAGGTAAATTCTAAGAACACAGTGACATAGCACGTTAGTCAGAATTAGGTGTTATTAAGTAGTATGAAAAATCGGTTGGAAGTTTTGTGACAAAATAAACCGATTCCATTCAATTCCATTACCTGTTCTCAATGTTTTTACCTACGCAATGTTTATTTATAAGGAAATTTCAGTATGCCGTCTCATGTATTGAAGCAATTGAAATTTTTATGCTGCCCTCAGCCTAATATTAGTACATTGCATCCGGTGTTCAGCTGTTTTTCAGCTTCAAGCGTCTAGTTATCCCGAAACTACGTATCATTTTTCAGAGAGATCTTTTCCAATCAAATTACTGCACATCAATTTCAGGAGTTCCTCCATTACTTGGAACTGTTAGATGGAACACAGAATTGCATATATGGCGTCCACCATAATATACAACGGTTTTAGCTATGATACTCACAAAATCAATATTAACCCATTCGATGAAAACACGAACAAACCAGATCGACACAACGATAATACGTGACGAAAAATCGAGTTCGAAGGAAATCAAATCATCTGAAATAAGCGAATTATCCTTCTCACATTCCAAACCGGCTGTTCGCTAATTATGATTATCTGATGAAAAATGTGTATCATTACTTCTGTAGACGTTTATTCATTCAGGTGAGTAATGAAAGATTTGGTTCAACTTCAAAGATGAATTCATTGTATATATAGCAAATTAAGCGTGAACCGAAAAGCTGGGAAGCTGTTTTGACCTGGTTGGGTTTCATCAACAATGCAAATCCACCGATTCAACTGGGAATTGAACCGGGGACCTCACAGACAGAACGCAGGCGTGCCACTCAACCGAGTCACAACCCGGAGACTTGTGCTGAGATGAGCTGTGTCTGTAGCCCACAAAAGGCTCTCAAAGATGGATTGTGCTACATAGTGCAGATGGAAAATGAAAAACAGTCTGATCAGCTACCCAGTGGCCGAGTGTGTAGCGTGCTTGCGTTCTACCTGTGAGGTCCCGGGTTGGATCCCCAATTGGGTCGATAGGTTCACACTCTTGATGAGACCCAACCAGGTCGAAACAGCTGTCCAGTACTTCCTAGCTTTTCAGTTCACGCTTCATTTGCTATATACACGACGAACTCATCTTTCAGTGTATTCATTCGTTCACTTTTGCTTCTGCAAGTGTGTTCAAACCGATAGACGACCAGTGTGGGTAAACCTAATTGTCGGATCAAGTTCAACCCGTGGTTCACAAATGCGCTTTTAGTGCATCGCTCGCACAGTCAGGGGTGCGTCAGACCCGGATTACGACGACCTTTATCGAATGACCTTTCTATTTTAATCGATGCCAAAGACAAGTGCGATTACCGTTGATTCATTCAAGCCGGCGTGCGAACACACCTGTGTAGGTGTGTCCGTACGCCGGCTTTTATCGATAACTTGGATCTGACATCTTACTGCACATCTTCACCCATTTGCACGCTGGTGCGACAGACCCCATCGATAGACCGCATGGCTGTTCCTTTGGTGACTACTGCAACAAAAATTATCACGTTCAAGATTACACAGATGTATACCATTTCAAGACAGCTTTGAGAAACTATAATTTTGATTTGCGAAACCGTCAGTTGG